CCCCTGAACGCGTTCCAGAGGCTGATCACTCTGAAATGCAATGTTTGTTGTGTGAACCGGCCCATAGGAAGTGTATAATGGGTCCACTCAAGTTCTGGAGTAATAAGTGGCCCTCCGGGTGGTTATTGTCCTGCTCTTTTTTTCACTCTTAAACTGGATTCTCCATTTATTAAAAATATAGTTTCATGTAATGTAGCTATGCTGTCTTGCTGACTCATACAGAATTCCAGCTTGCATATTATGATTTACTCTAATAATAATGGGGTTAAAAAAAAGGGGGGGTGGGGGGCAAATGGGATTTTTTAAACTGGGGAAAAAAAATAGCATTTGTTTGATGGACAGTACTTTAGTAAACCAAATGTCATCCAGCTGGGTTGTACATCTACTCGAAATGTGTTATAAATGTTGTAAATCAACCAACACCATAATGGTAAAGTAAAGAGCAGAGTCCTCAGTGTGCTTGAACATTGCCTTCTCTCTGTTTTTGACTGGCATCACTCCCAAACAAATGTAGTGTGGTGATTCTCTCACATCAGAAATATAAAAGTTTTGTAGAGGAAAATATATTGTGAGTAGAAGACCAATATTCTTTTTTCAATTAATGTGTACATTTTCTTTCCATAATTCTTTTTTGAACAAATACAAAATGAATGGTTAATTCGGAAGTACCGCTGATGAGTTTTATTCTACTGCCTGTATTAAGTTGAGGTAGATGTTTTGGAAAACATTAGCTGCTTCTGTGCACTCTAAAACCAAATGCACTTCTACTTTTAGCCCCCTTCCATGACCTAACCTAACTTGCCCTCTACAACTAGATACTCAATCTGATGACTGAAATTCCACCGAAAATATGGGTATTTTCTTAAGCTTTGCTAGGACAAGTCTAACCATTTTGCTGCTGGCATTTTTTCTTTTTCTCCCCCTCTGTGGATTTGACTTTGTTCCGCCTTACTTAGCAACTACCATCGCAGCGGAATGAGCCCATCTTCCAGCTCCCCAGCCCCCCAGTGGGGGGAGAGATCCAGAAGTCTTGCCAAGGCAGGAGTAATGGATGGGATTCTGTACTGGGCAGAACTTTAAGTTCCAGCCTTGTCTTCTGTGCACATTTCAGGCATAGACAACTGAAAGGCAGACTTCACCATGTTCTAGCTGTGACCTTGATTTGCCAAACACTGACTAAAGCAATCGGAAGGGTTTCAGAGGTTGTACTCCATCCTATTCAGGGTTCCCAAACCCACAGTGAGGTATTCGCCTCATCTTGGATCTAAACTTGAAATTTCTTCATTTAAACTCCGTTCAGTATGAAATCCACCAGGTCTGTCATTGCCTCCCTCCACCAGGGACACTTTCTAGTATCTCTGGACATAAAGGACACATACCTACCCTTCAGCCTTTCTTCTTCACATTGAGTATTTTCCAAGGTGCTGGCCCCAGTACTTGCCTTGCTGAGCTCTCAGGGCATTTCCATTGAGGGATATCTTGAAGACCTCCTACTGAGGGAACAGAGGCATGGATGGATTCTGAACATTGAGGAATTAGCACTGGAACGGACTCATTGCTTGAAGTATAAACTTCAAGCTCCAGCCTTGACTTCTGTGCACATCCCAGGCGTAGACAACCGAAAGGCAGACTTATTTGGCTTGCTACGTTTAGACCCAGGAGCATGGGCTCTAAGCTCTACAAGGATCCTTGTGTGGAAGTAAGGGGTGCCTTTGTGACTCCATAGGATGGATACACCAACTCCCAAACTTCTCTGCAGGATCGAGTTGAAGGGCATTTCAGCGATTCTCATTGCTCCAGATTGATTCAGGTGGCTGTAGTATTCCAACTTTGTAAGACTTCTGGCAGATCATCTTGCTCTTCTGTCTCTGTTGTGTGCTTTTTCACCTTTGTCTGGCTTCTAAATGACATAGCTGTCTAAACCCAGGTTTTCAGAGGTGGGGGGCCAGGAGTCTCGTATAGCTTCCCATTTCATTGCCCTGTGACTTAGTAGGATCTTAGTTTGGTTCTCTGCACTTCAGAAGCTGTCATTTGAACCCATTAGTGACATTGCTCTCTCTACTTTTACTCACAAGGAGGGGTGCTGGCCACCATTACTTCTGTTAGGCGATTATCTGAACTGGCAGCCTTTATCCTGCAAGAAACCCTTTCTGATTTTGCATAGTTACAAGGGGTTTTGCGGCTTAAGTTTTTCTTCTTGCCCAAGAGTTTCTGCCTTTCACCTCACACAGGACATTTTATTTATTATAATTTTTTTATACAGGTTTGTTTCTATAGTTGACAATTTATGTAGTGTTTTACCTATTGTACATTCACATCAGCCCCTGCCCTCAAGGAGCTTACAATCTAAGGTTCCTACCCCACATGTGTACATATACATTAAAGAGTCAATTTACCAAAATCAGTTAGCCTACAAAGTACACTGTGGACACCTATCCAAGCACAGGGATAACATGCAAACTCCATGCAGGTAGCATCCTGGTTGGGATTCATATCGTGCACCCTAGTGCTACAAGGCAAGAGTGCTAACCTCCATGCCACTGTACTGCCTGGTTCCTACGCCCCTTTGCCCAGCTATAGTTCACAAAAGGAAATCTCCACTGTCTGGATGTTGTTCGGGCTTTGTCCGTCTCTTACCCATTGCTTCTTTCAGAAAGACTTTGTCATCCCTGATGCTCTCTGTACGGGTGCACTAGCTTCTTGTTCCACCATCTCTAGGTGGCTCAGACTGACCATCTTCCAAGCTGCTGGTCTCAAGGATCAAGCTCCATGCTTTTATGTCAGGGCGCACTCTACTAAATCTGTGAGTGCTTTTTCGGCTTTAGCATCAGACTACCCTTTCCCACATTTGCTAGGCCATCTGGTCTTCTGTTCCTTTGTTCTCAAGTTATACCAGATGGATGCTCAGGCCTCATTTGATTCATTCTTCAGGAAATTGCTGAGGAAAGGCTTTAAAATATCTTCAGAAAAATCTGGAGGCCAAAGCCAAGAATGGTGGCCTAAAATGATTATTATGGTTTAGTTGAAGCAATCTACATCATCTTGCTGGTTTTTGGGTTGTTGTGGGTTTTTTTAAGTTTTGTTATGACGTATTGTGCATTTGTTTCAGGTCCAAAGCTAAAAATGGAAAGAAGATTATTGGGGAAAAACAACACGCAGATTCCTCCGATGATGATGATGACTTTGATAAGCGAGGATCTAGGCGGCAGGCCACTGTAAATGTCAGTTATAAGGAAGATGAAGAGATGAAAACAGACTCTGATGACTTGTTGGAAGTATGTGGTGAAGATGTTCCTCAACCAGAGGAAGACGAGTTTGAAACAATTGAAAGAGTAATGGACTCTCGTTTTGGGCGAAAAGGAGGTAATTAGTGATTTGGACAATTGAAAGTGTTTTTTAAGATTCATTCGTTCCTGATGTTAATTGCTTGTACAGCCTCCTTTTTATCCTTCAGCGTGTTCTAATGGCACATCTCCATTTATAGGTGGACTTATCGGACAGTAAGAATATGTGGGAGTGGGGCCGAGGCATTGTTTAACACTAGGATGTTTCAAACCTGGGTCCAGGTTTAGGGCTCCTGGACTGTAGGAGGGACCATTTAAAACAGGTGTTTTTTTTGGACTGCATGTGCCCATTAGCGGGTGGTTTCATAATTTAAATGCATTAAGCTCCAGCTGTTCTCTATTAGACCAAGCGTTTCATTTACATTTGACATGCCTGGTCTCATTCATGTCCTCGCGGGCACATTTGTAATGTTAAAATTTGAATTGAATAAGTTTGAGGTCAAAGCAGATATACTCAGCTGATCCTCGGTCCTGCAGCTGTCACAATTCACCTTTCCCCCCTCCACACTGGCTGTGGAATGTCCCTCAGCATCCTCCTGTCTAATGCAAGTCAATGGACCCGCATTAGACGTGATGCAGTCATTGATCCTTATATGTGCAGTGCCCAGGGGAGGAGAGGCTGCAGGGAACCATCTAGCAGCCTGGCAGGACTGAAGATCTACTGAGTATATCTGCTTTATGCGAGTGTGGGAGTAGCCACATAGCCAGGCTAAGTTTTTAAAATTACTGGAGATCTTTAAACATTCTAAAATATATTTTAAAAAATTGGATCTTCAGGAAATATCCAGGCAACCTCGGTTCTTTTCCAGAGAGTAGCGTTAAATGGATGGAAGAAACAGATGAACAGAAACAGTCCAACAGAGTAATAATAAAAATAAAATATCTAGACCTCAGATGACACAGGTTCCGTAAGGATACACTCGGCATATATTTCCAATATATGTATGCCCTATGTGTCTCGCTCCATGTCTGATTCCCCAACCACAAATATACCCCAAAATTATCTATTTCAATCATAATTTTCAACAGCTTCTTGAATTGGTTTGAGTTATCTTGTTGTAAATTTCTTTGGATAATATGGGAAAATCAATTTTTTTCAACTTTAACTAGCCTGCAAGGAGGTGACCAGGCTGTACTCTTTAATTGCAGTACATAAGTTTAGGTCCACCACTGCTGGGTGACAGCAGGCAGTGGGCGGGTGCATTAGCCAGCCTGCTATTGGCTACTGCAATTTGAAATGGCCAATAGGAGGCTGACTATTGCTCCCAGCCACTGCCTGCTATGTTTAAATTCAGCTGCTATGGAAGTAGAAAGGTGACATTAGGGTCTAGTAGGCCATTAAAGGAGAACTATGAGGTGAGTGCTTTTCACTCGCCTCATAGTTCTAGCCGACCTGTGACAATGAGACTGTCACAGGCCGGCTCAGTAGATCGGGGGAGGTGAGCGAACGACGGTATGTGTTCGCTCACCTCCCGATCTACTGAGCTCGATCCTGTCGCAGCTCTCTGCCGTGACAGGGGAGGGGCTGGATTCCCCCCGCTCCGATCCGCCAGCGCTGACTGGCAGATCGGACGGGGAGGGGGCGTGTACAGCTGGCTCTGCCTCTAGATAGGCAGAGCCAGCTGTCACTCACGCAGCTGGGCGGATCCAGACATAATTGTTTTATCCGCTTCAGCTGCGGCGTCTCAGTATACCGCGAGCTGTAGTTTGCGGTATACTGAGCTTAGGGTGACGGGAGGACGCTAGTTTGTGTCCTCCCGTTACCCGTTAGGGAAAAGCCCTAACCCCATATTTCTCCTTTAATGTCACCCTAAAGAGAACCTGTTATCTGCAATGAGTACAAAACCGTTAAATAAAATACATTCCACCGTGAAACGCCCCCGCGAAAAAAACCTGGCTTCAACTTTTTTGGCTGGCTCCCTCCTGGATTCAAAGAAAATGTGTCAAGCCCTGTCTTGACCGTCTTACAAACCCATTCCCCCACCCTTACCACAACAATGGTAAGCACATTATTCTTCCCACCTATGCAACCTAATGCAGTGTGGTTTTTTTTTTTTTTTTTTAGAAAGGTGCAGGTGCTTCTTTTGGTGCTGCACATTGTTTGTAGCCCCATATACTTCAAAGGGAGCACATAAAATATGCATGTAACATATAAAAGACAGCCCCTACCCACTTGCAACAGATACTTTATTTTACCTTTTATCAGCCAAAACGCATCAAAAACTCACAACAAAAACATGCTAAAAAAAAGCATAAAGATGCAGAAGTGTGAACAGTCTTGGGGCTTGTTTACACCTGTGTGTTTTTTGTACCTCATAAATGCAGATCTCTGCAAGTGCACATAGAAAAGAGTTGAATTCTGCTTGCCCTGTTCACACCACAACCGAGTATGAGAACACAGCATGTAAAAAAAAAAAGTAAACGTGTATCTGTGCATGTTATGGTGTGAACGAGCCCTGACCATAATGACCCTTTCTATAGCTTTGAAGATAAAGGACCAGAGCCTGAGCACTTAACAAACACATATTGCTGACTCTGTATTACTTCACTTTGCAAATGTATTTGTAATTTGTATGTTTTAGGTAAGCCGTGAATACAGAAATCACATGTTGCAGAAACATTTATTTTGTGGATTTAACTCTTATGTATATCTACTTGTTCCCAGTTACTGGCGGTACTACAACCATTTATGCAATAGAAGCTGATGGTGATCCTAATGCTGGTTTCGATAAGACAAAAGAGCCCGGAGAAGTCCAGTATTTAATTAAATGGAAAGGTTGGTCTCCTATTCACAATACATGGGAAACCGAAGAAACGCTAAAGCAGCAAAATGTAAAAGGAATGAAAAAGCTGGAGAACTACAAGAAAAAGGAGCAGGAAAAAAGGAAATGGTACTGGCATAAAACATTTCTGTTATTTTGCTTTCACGTTTTAACTTTTCCACAGTAGTAGTTGATTCCTTCTTTAAGTGCATTCAGCGTAATGTGCATTGAGCGTCTTCCATAATCCACTATTGGGGCACAGAACAATGCAGCTATATAGATATAGTTTATAGCACTACAGAAATCATCATTTTATAGTTCTTGGCAAATAAAGCATGTCATCAAACAGGTATGTCGGGGTAGACAACCTCAGTACTTCAGCTGTTGTGGAAGTACAAGTCCCTTGAGGCATTGCAGGACTCTGACAGCCACAGACATGACCCTAGAGACATGATGGGTTTTGTAGATTCACCACAGCTGGAGTGTCAAGGTTGCCTACCCCTGAGGTATGTGAAGTAGATGCCTTCTTTGTTTTAGGTCCTTATGTACAGTTACAGTGCAGGCAGACTAAATGTAAATTATGATGCCAAATCCCAAAAGCAGAGGTTGTTATGTTTGCAAAGTTTAATGTTCTCCATGTATGCATTAAAAGAATGAATGTGTCCACAGTTCTAAATGACAAAATGTCTGTCTTTTCTAATTCTAAAGGCTAAAAGCAGCATCACCGGAAGATATTGAGTATTACAATTGTCAACAGGAACTTACTGATGACCTTCACAAACAATATCAGATTGTGGAGAGAATAATAGGTAAAACTCTTAATCCCCCCCTCCCCTCTCTCTTTCATCCCCCCCCTCCCTAAGGACTTGCCTTGTGTGATTTTTTTTTTTTCATTCATGGGATAAAAACATTTGAGTGTTAAATTGCTTTCATTTTGCAGCTCATTCAAATCAGAAATCTGCAGCTGGATACCCTGATTATTTCTGCAAGTGGCAAGGTCTTCCATATTCAGAGTGCAGTTGGGAGGATGGAGCACTTATTGCTAAAAAGTTTCAGCCACACATTGATGAATACTTTAGCAGAAATCAGTCCAAAACTATTCCTTTTAAGGAGTGCAAGGTAAGGAACTGTGGGATACATAAATAGGAAATGGGGATATGCTGAAGTCAAATGGATGTAGCCGCTGGTGGTGTCCAGTTTCTATATCACAATGTTTAAAGGAGAACTATGAGGTGAGTGAAAATCGCTCATCCTCATAGTTAGAGCTGATGTGTGACAATGAAACTGTCACACGTCAGCTCAATAGATCTGGAAGTGAGCGACCACATACCGTCGCTCGCTCACTTCTCAATCATCTCCCTGCAGAGAGTGGTTACTGTCAGTCACGGCTCCCTGCAGGGATTCCACTCCGCTAGGACATATACCCCCCCTGCTAGTATATGTCCTCCCGTGACCCTTAGAACTATGGGGAAGAACACTTAACCCATAGTTCTCTTTTAACGTAAATGGCTAAACAGGGGTAATATATTGTTTACATTATAGTTTATTTTTGATGCTGGAGTTAAATAGCCTAACGATTTTAATATGTCGTTTGGGGGCTCAGGTGGTGAAAAGTTGCCCTTAGATTCCAAGGTCTGTAGAGCAGACATAGCCATTACAGGGTTATGTGCTCCCCTGTGGTAAACCCCTGGCACTATGAAGCGCCATTCTACCTTCTCTGTTGGTTAGTGAGCCCGCCATTTACTGTGATGAGTTAACATTGAGGTGCACAAGGTGGGGAGAGGGCTAGGAGGAAGCTATTCCTGGGCCATGTATAATATCCACTGCCATCTGCTTTGGCCTGTACTATTCCCACTCATGGCCTCTGCTTAAGAAAGAGTGATAAACGGATATATTTAGCAGTACATTAATTTTGAGCCACTAAAATGTTTTATTACAGGTTTTGAAACAAAGGCCAAGGTTTGTTGCTTTGAAGAAACAACCATCATATATTGGAACTGATGTACTGGAGCTTAGGGACTACCAGCTTAATGGCTTAAACTGGCTTGCTCACTCATGGTGCAAGTAAGTTGTTTTTTTCCTTCTTTTCTTTTCCTATCCTTTCCCTTCTTGTGAGCTTTAGATCTGCTTATCAGAGGTTGAATGTTTTGCCTAATGACAGTTGATGTAATATTCCTAGCATAGCTAGAAAGGAAAAAGCAATTGCACCATAGAAAATTATATACCTTTTTAGTTGTTGCTGTTTAACCACTTGAAGACCAGGTGTTTAGACCCCCTTCCTGGCCAGGCCATTTTTCAGTATTCAGCGCTGCGGTACTTTGACTGACATTTATTCCGTCATGCAACGCTGTACTGAAATTAATTTTACACCATTTTTTGGGGACACATAGAGCTTTCTTTTGGTGGTATTTAATCACCACTGGGGTTTTACAAGGTTTTTTTTACTAGATTTCAGAAAATTTATGTTAAACATTTATTACCCAATTTTTCTGTAAAATAGAAAAGTCGGGGTCACGTCGGGTAAATAGACACCAAACATGTCATGCTTAAAAATTGCGTGCACCCGCGAAATCGCAAACTACCATACCCAAAATTGGCCATTGGCGACACTTTAAAAGCTTTTACCGCTCATCAGTTTAGTGTTATCAGTGATTGATGGCCCTAGAATTATTGCTCTCACTGCGACATTCGTGGCGTAATGGGCGCAATCGTCGTTTTCTCAGGTATGTGCACCCGACGCATGTTTGCATGCGTGCATGTATGGGTGGGGGCTTTAAAAAAAAAAAAATTTTGTGTGTAACTTTAAAAAAATGTTTTGGAAACTTACATTTTTTTTCCTATTTTTTCACATAACTTTATTGCTATCACATAGGGGGCCAAGAAACCCCCCTATGTGATAGCAAAAGATGTGACAGTTCCTCTTTATGGAGACATCAGGGGTCTCCAAGACCCCTAATGTCACCTAGGACCCCAGAAGAAGCTGAGGAAGCAGAGATCTTAAGAAGCTGGAGAGTGACACAAGAATGAGGAAGTGATGTAATATACATTACTTCCGCATTCTGACACCGGAGATGGGACCGGTGGGAGATCGTGTACTGACCTCTCTCTGATCCCCTGTGACAGAGGCACTACGCTGGTCCCGGGCTCGCACCGGGCACAGCGGAGCCGGGACCAGCGTGACAAGGGGGGGTGGGGGTGCATGGGCCGGCAGCTCATACAAGCGACTTATAGAGCTATAGAGCCGGCGGATCGCTTGTATGTTAACAGGCATCGGTGCCTGTTTTTAAATTGACGGTGTTTCCCGCTCGTGCGT